ATGAATTGTGTTTCAAAATAGACTTCTCAAGGAGTAAATTATAATTTAGTGCTTATTATAATATTCATTAAGAGCTGACTTCTTCTATAGCGTTATACCAAATACTAATTACTAGAAATTAAGGTGACAGGAGGGAATAATATTCTGAGTTGTGTAAGTAGGAGTAATAGCAGCCCAAGAGGGATAAGAGAGGCAAAGCAGAGGGAGAATTTCCTTTCTATGGGGAAAAGAAAGGTAATAAAATCCCCAGAAGCTGGCGAATGGGAGCCACGGCTGCCCGGGCAGAGGGTGAGCAGTGAGGTGCTGGGAGCAAAGGGACAAAAATATCGGGGCTGCTGGTGGGTGCAGGGGCACCAAGGAGAGGAGTCGCAGGGGTGGGACCTTTGGGTCCAAAGTGTCCAGTTTTGGGGCATCGCTGCCTGGCAGGATCCATACAGGGAAATCAGCCCAAAGGCTGAATCTTGCCTTGACACTGTCTCTAGTTTGTTTACTTAGATTATTATTTTTTTTCTCCTCTTCAGGCTAAAATTCAATTTCCTGTGATGATTTCCAACAAAAGACGGGAAGACGTTTCTGCTGGCTCTGATATTAGATGTCGGTGCGCGTGCTTAGGAGCTGCAGGGTCGGGTAAGCAGAGGCTGCCCAGGCTTTGGGCACGGAGTGGCTCCAAACGGGTGGTGGTTTTAAAGCAAAAGCCTGAGTCCTTAGTCACAGCCCAGGTGGAGCTACACCAACCTCTGAATCACATTTTGTCGTGCACCGAGCTGCGTGGCCACCTCCAAGGCTTCCTTCCAGCACAGACCGTGTAACCATGTGGTTTAATGGATTGAGGGGCACATGAAAGTGATCCCCTTATTGCCAAACATTTCCAGGATTTGTCCTTTTGGCTCTTTGAGTAGGAAAAAGCCACTTACCATGTTCTTTTCTAAAGCAATTTCCAGAGAGGTCTGGCAAACACGGCGAGGAGCTGCCAGCACCAAGCCCTGACCAGGTTTCTTCACTTGAGTAAATCAACGTTTTGCTGCTAATGCGATCTGAACGCCCATTTTCTGTGCCCCATTTATTTTAACGCAGGGGCTGGGGTGCAGGGGGAGGCAGCACCAGGGCAGCCCTCCAGGAACCCCACCGAGGCGCTCAGCCCCTTCGCTCCCATCCGATTTTGCAGTGTGTGCTGTGCAAACGCACGGGGGGAGCGCGGCGGCTGGGATAACTCGCAGCCCCCGCCTGTCTCCCTGCATCCCTGCCTATCGACCTCTGATTTTTTTTTTTCTTTTTGGCAGAGAAGGTTTCTCAGGGCTGTGTTTTGGGAAGGGGGATGCTCTTGCTTAGTCTGGGCCAGCCAAAATCCCTATGAAAGAAAATTTCTTGGCACAATAGGGTTTTTTTTTCATCATTATAAGGGGGTGATGGTGCATGAGCAGCTCCTCCCTGCCTTGCTGGTCCCTCCAGCCCTGCTGTGGGACAGGGATGGGGACGGGATGGGGACAGCAGCCCCCAGCCCCCACGGGACTGTGGGCGAGGGAGGGAGGGAGCTGACCCGCTGGCAGCTTGAGGTGAAGCAATTAAAGTATGTGGCTGCCACTGGCATTTCCTGCCTGTAATTAAAGCTTTTAACGAGGAGGCAGATGGTAACTCCCCCCTGGCCCCAGGCTGGCATTCTGCCAGGTGTGTGTTTATTCACAGCTGCTAATTACACCATCATTTAGTGTATACATTGAGGAGGGCTGCATCGCCTCGCCTGGCCCCCGAGAACTCAAATTGGCTGTGAACGCTTCAAAAAATTTCTTAATTTTATTTACATTTTTCCCCCGTTGCATCAGGAACTGAACCCTCGGGGACAATTGCATTTAAGGGACACCACCACCCCTGGGACACGATGCTGGTTCCTGGTTCCTTCCCCGCTGCACCCAACGCCCTCCTCCACGCACCGGGGCTGCAAACCCGGCTGCAGCTCCTCCCCTCAGCCGGCGTGAGATTTTTATTCCCCGGGGTGAATTTTGAGGAAACCCTGACGGGCCCGGTGGCCGCAGCGGGGCTCGAAGCCTTTCCCCATCCCGACGGCGGATCCGGCTACTGGGATGTGTCAGCCCCGATGAGCTTCGGGGCTCCCGTGTGTCCCTGGACCAGGTGTGTGTTATCCTGGTAAGAAAATCTCTAGCTTTGTTCCCCTTAGACCTCCGCTCTGCTGCTGGCGCGTTTATTGGGCCAAGCACGCTACAGGAAGGCTGTTTTCCCTCTACAAAAGGCTCTTGGTAACGTTTTATAACAGCTGGTTATGTTTTTTACACTGGGTCTTATCAAGTACCTCGCTCCCAGCTCTTCGAATCTTCCAGCTCTGCGCAATCATCTAGAGAAAATGAGCATTAAAATCAGCCACGTGGAAGTTTTCCCCTTTCTTTAAAAGCCAGTGCCCGGTCCCGCTCCTGCAGCAGCCGGGTGCCGTCCTGCCTCTGCCTGCCTCGCCCCTCTGCCGCTGTCACCCGTGGGACGTGGCCGTCGCCGCTCCCACGCACTGAATCGGCCTCCGCAGGGACGGGAGCCCGTGGACAGCGGGACAAGGACGGACGGAGAGGCCACTGGGGATGGAGGAGTTGGGGTATGATGAGCTGCTCACCGGCGTCGGGACCTCGAGGGGCCCCACGAACGCGTGAGCACGATTCGGGGCTGGGGAAGCCCCTCCGCTACCATTGGAACCGGCAGCAGCGGGTGACGCTGGAAAAAAAAAAAAAATAAGGGTGCCTGAGGGTGTGAGGTGACCCGGGGGGGCTGCCCGAGGCTCTGGGGGCTTCCCTGGCAATTGGGGATTTGGGCAGTGGGCGTTGGCAGGATAACGAGCTTCGGCAAAACTGGTTGCCCAAGAGTGGAGGATGCTGGCCATAGGCATCTCCCGTGTCATCCTCTGGAGCATCAGGAATTCATTTATTTTAAAATATTTCATTATGATGGCTCTAATGACAGGAGCGTGGGTGGCAGGAGGGCGTTTTGGGGAGCAGGTAGGGAGGGGTGCTGGCGGGAGGGCGCGAGGCCGAGCGGGTCGCTGGGCTCCCCACGCCAGGCAGGGCCGAGCGTTTGCTGTCAGACTGACTTATTTGAGAGGGCGGCCCGTCTGGCGTTACGGGGGGATCCGGCTGTAGCAAACACACGGAAATCACAACACAAGCGCTGTGTCGAGGTTGCAGTGTCCAGGCGAATCCCAGTCTGACCAGCAGGCCCAGCACTGCTGCTCGCCCGGCGCTCCGGTTGTGGAGAAGGCGCTGGAGAAGAGCTCGGCGCCGTGCGAGCTGCCTGGTCGGCAGAGGAGGGAGCGCAGAGGTCTCAGCACAAGTTGGAATAATTCCTCTTTAAAGGCACGCGCGGCCCCAGGGTGTATGACCGCTGGGTGGCCTGAGCCCAGGCTCTCACGGCTCGTCGCGCCCAGAGAAAAGCGTCTCCTGCTCATTAAGGGTAAAACCCTTAATGCTGGGGGGCACCCGGGTTTGGGGGCGCGGGGGCGGGAGCCCCCACGGCAGGGCCGGGCTGTGCTGCTGGTGTGGGCTGGGGCAGCGGTTTTGGCAGCGGCATTAAGGCGAGCCCCCGGGAGCGTCACCCTCCCTCCGCAAAAGCTTCTGCTGTAGCCATGCCATTCTATTTAGCCGTGACATTTTATTCTTTAAAGAAGGACTTTCAGTGCTTATTTGAATTGCATAGGTAAGCACTTTGGAAACTAGCGTTATTCCCTCTCACAAAACAATTGTTCTGCAATATGCTGCCACCACGTTACTGAACTGTGCTGGGTGAGACTTTTGATGACTCCTCGGGAAGGATTATATTTGGCAACACCCTTCTCTGTGTATCTGCCCCCTCCTCCCTCCCCAGTTAAAGACTTTTATTCTTAAAAATGATTTTGTGAACAAAAACGAATAGGAGAAATCAGGTTACAGTATTGTAATGGCAGTTGAATTTCAGGAGCTGCTATGCCCAGAGGGGTCATGGCAAAGTTCCTTTTTTCCTTCACCGATCTGCTCTTCTCTGCAAGTCATTTATTTCCACTAAACAGTTTTGTCATCAGAGCATCAGCGTTTAATTGCAGCTGAAGAGAGGCCTAAACAAATTGCTCAGTGTAGTAAATGTCCTAGTGAGACCCTCTAGTCCCTATAAACGGCTCTTACCCGTTCATATTAATGATTTATTCATACACCAAAACACCCCCACCCCCTCTTTTTCCGAAGCAAATACCTTCCAAGCTCTAATTCAACCCGAGAAGTCAGGTCTGCCCCTAACGCGCCGGCGCCAGTGCCGCCAAGCGCCCGCGTGGGAAGCCCTGCACCGGCGGGACGCTGCCCGGGGTCTTTCCCACCACTTCTTCCTCCTCTTTATTTCTAACACAAGGTTACATCCGATACAAGAGAATTTGGAGGACTTCAACGACCGTATCGCGACGTTACGTGGCTCGGACAGCGCCCGGAGGAGCGGCAGCAGCGGGTGGTTTCCTCCCACTTTGTGAAATTCCCGCTTGTAGCTCTCGTGTGGAAACGCTCACGGGCTCTTCAGGGTCAAGTTACCGTTTCTTAGTAGATTTTTCAAATGCTGTTCTTTACAATTTAGCATTAAATAAAACACCGTCTACATATTTGTATTCAGTTTCCAGAGCAGTGGCTGCTTCATTTCTACAACAAGGCTGAGGGCAACAGTATAAAACGAAGACGCGCTTTTCCAGCAAAATTATCTACAGCGGACATTGTACTAATCATGACATTTTTCTGCTCTTCAAACTTCAAGTTGGATAATATCAGATAGCTTTTAAGTCATTAAGTTGTTTCCTAAGCAACTTAATTTTGTCCGGACTCCCTGGATTTCCCCGCGCTCCCTGCCGCCGTCTGGAGCTCAGCGTCCGGTGTTTCCCCGCAGAGGGTCTCCAGCGCCAGCCACCCTCCAGCGCAACGCATGGGAGAACAGACTCATTTTACCAGGCTGATTCTGCTTCAGAGGTCGGGGAAGAAAGAATTGCAAAGGGTATTTTATGCTTTTAATACATTTTTTTTTTATTGCAGTAACCTCTAAATTATTCATAAGCTTAATGACTTTCAAACATCTACACTAGTAAAGCAGAAATTAGTACTGATATTTCATGATACGTCTGTACAGGAGATTCAAAACCTGCTGAGGCCACGGGAAAGATGCGCAGAGATGGTGATGTATTTCGAATCAAGTACAGCTGGAATAAGCTTAATTAAGTGACTTCAAAGAACTCAAGCGTATCAGTCAGCATGCACAACACTTTCACAGGAAAATCTCATTAAGCACAAATAAAATTAACTTTGCTATTTAATAGAAAGAGGACAACAAAAATAAAACTGAAGAAATAAAATATATACATATAAAGCAACATAAAGCTAAATTAGGACAAGGTGATCAAGTTGCTCATTTCCTCCAGTGGCTTCTGTATTGTCGGCCTGTGGAGCAGCACCCGCACCCTGCTTAACGAAAACACAGGCCGCCTCTTTGCAAACGCACGCGGAGCGGTAACCAACCCTGACATTTCAGAACTTGGGTTGAAATTCAGTATTGATGCAAACAGAGCTGTTTCTCCTCAGAACCTGGACAACAGCGTCACCATCTCACTCTTCCCCGTGCAGTTCCCAGTCGTTGGCTCCCAGGACGCAGGGAACGGCGCCGCGGCCTCGGCGAGGCGCTGCCCGCGCAGCGCAGCTCCCCCGGGCGCCCGCTCAACCTCCCCACATCCCGACAGGGGCATCTGCTCGCCCCCCCAACAGCGTCAGGCTGGAAACGCGCTCACACATCCTTACAGCTCTCACTGAGATGATCTTCTCTTTTTTTTTTTTTGTTTAAAAAAATAATCCTTAAAATAAACAAATGCTCTGTGGTGTTCAAAGTTAACGTTCTTAAGGTCTGAAAGGTACCTGCACAGCCAGGTTAAGCAGCCCCAGATTTATTCCCAAACACCAGTTTCAGAGATACATTTTATAGTTTTTCTCCCCTGCTTCCCCAGGAAGGCGCTCAGTGGGTGCAAACTGACACAGTTCAACAGTTTTTAGTCTAGAACCTGACAGGATTGGAGTCAGAGATTAGGGAGATGCTTCTGGAAAGATAAGACCCCATCATTTTAAGCACACTGTCTGATTTTTATTGCCTTTTTGGAATTTCCATTACAATAACTGATCATGCTTCTTTATTTTTTTGCTTTTCTCCTCAACGTCTTTCAGCACATCTTGCAGTCTCTTAGCGTTCTGGGTCAAGAAAGCAAAGCTTTCTTTGAAGTTTCCGGTCCCGTGCTCCCTACAGGTATTCTCAAGCCCATCAAACCACTGCAAAATTTTCTCAAGCTCTGCCTGAACAGCCTTCTGCTCTTCCAGTTCTGCTCGCAGCGCCTGCCCAGCAGACGCCTCAGCCCTGTACTGCTTCTGCAGCTGATGGATCTCATCCTGAAGCGCCTCGAGCTGCTCTTTGCTGTAGGGATACTGCTCGTGGACCTTGTCCTCGGGAAGGAGCACGTTCTTAGGGATGTTTAACACCAGCTGCAGAAGCACTTCTTCCATTTTACTGAAGAGTTTGTCAAGGTGCTCCTTCATGAAGAGAAGAAATTTCTCTGTGCTTTTCCGGATTTGTAAGGGGCTGATTTTACAGCCGGGAAACCCGTCCAGTTTCTTCAGGATTACGCTCTCAACCACCAGCATCACTTCGAAGAGGTAGTCCTGGAACGCAATGTAGATGCGTAGCATGCACGTCTGGGGGGTGAAGCCGAAGAACTGGGCTTCGTAGGCCATGGGATTGACCGACATGGTGGCGGACGAAAGCCGGGAAGGGAAAAAAAAGAGAAACGCAGGCCTTGGGGGAGAGAGGCCTTGCTGTAGGCGGGAAGGCCGAGCCCGGAGCTGAGGGGAAGCCGGTTCACACAGGAGGCCCAGCGTAGCCGCAGCCTGCCGCGCCGTTACCCGAGGCGCCGGGGCCGCTCCGCCCGCTCTAGTGTCGCATACCGGGGCCGATGACCGGGGCCAGGCCCTCCCGCCGCCGCTCGCCCACCGGCCGTGCCGCTCCCTCCGCCGCTTCCCGCCTCGTTCGAGCTCCCTCAGGCGAGCAGCCAATCAGCGGCCGCGAGGAGAAACGGACCGCCCAATCAGCGAGCGCTCCAGGCCCCCGCGGGGGCGGGAAAAGAGTGGGGAGCTCGGCCAATGAGAACGCGGCGCCACCGCCCCGGGCGCTGCCGGTGCCGATTGGCTGCGCGGGCGGCGGGCGGTGAGGACGGGGCCGGTGCGCGCAGGCGCCTGGCGGAAGAGGAAGCGGAAGCGGAAGCGGCGCGGGAGGCGCTAAGATGGCGTACCAGACCTTCCGGCAGGAGTACCTGCAGGTGCCGCCCGTTACGCGGGCCTACACCACGGCCTGCGTCCTCACCACTGCCGCCGTGGTGAGTGCGGCAGCCCCGGCCCCGCCGGCTACGCCTCCTCCGGCCCGCGCCTGCGCCAGCCCCGCCTGAGGGCCCGGGGGGGTTTGGGGAGGCGATGGGGCCCGGAAGAAGGGGGGAGCGATGGGGCCCGACAGAGCCGTCGGGGCGCGGAGGATGCCCGGGAGCGGGGATGGGGCTCGCTGGGGCTGTGCCGGCGGGCTGTGTGTGGGGAAAAGCCCTCGGGACCCGCGGAAGGGGTTAGTTCAGGCACATCAGACCCCACGCCGTCCCGCCTCCCCCCAGTGTCTTCCCTCAGGGCCCTTGGATGGGACCCCCCGGGATTTGGCACTGAGGAAGGGGGTTACTTATTTGGGTGTGTGTAGCTTTTTTTCTTAGTGTATTGATCCTATCAAACGTTTTCTTCTCTTTCAGCAATTAGAACTGATCACACCCTTTCAGCTGTATTTCAACCCCGAATTAATATTTAAACACTTTCAAGTAAGTGTTCTCGGAAGCACAGGAGGTTTCTAAGTAAACTGTTGAGTTTGCAAGTGCTCGCTCTCTCGTAATTGAGTGTTACAAATGACCATGACTTTTCATATTGAAGTTATATTTTTAAAAGTCTAATGAAGCTGATCACTGTATCTTAGCGTAAATCTTTGGCTCACTGACTGTGAAGGAGATTTCAGTTACATTGTTACCTGCTTTTGTGTTTAGACAATAAAAACAAGCTGTCATGTTTAAAGTCCTTGTCTTTGTCTTATTTCCAGGTATGGCGGTTAATCACAAACTACTTATTCTTTGGACCAGTTGGCTTTAATTTTTTATTTAACATGATCTTTTTGTATCCTTCATCGAGTTTGTTTTCGTTCCTTGGAAAGCAGAGCTCCAGCGTACAGGCATGTTACCATACGTGCATATAAACAAAGGTTTGGTTCTGCTCCACCGTGAAGTTCCTGGTTGTTTAGCAATGCCAACTTCACTGATGTCATGAATGGACATCCACAGGATTTCTCTCATAAATTGTCAAGATTTTTGCCACTTATTTTTGTGCTGTTAAGACTGTGTTGTACAAGCCTGATTCTTCAGATTGGTCCTGACATACAGGAGAAAACTCCAAGTAACTTTTTTCTCCTGGGTCTGCCCTCTGCTGAAGCACCCAGAGCAAGCCAGTTGATGAAGTAAATTGATACAAAACTTACATCTAAGCTCATGTATAATTGAATCCTTTTCCAGCTGGATCTTTCTTTAAACTCATTTGCAATCAAATTTTCCTGACCTGCAACTTCAGATACCGTTACTGCCGAATGCTTGAAGAAGGCTCTTTTCGAGGTCGGACAGCAGATTTTGTATTTATGTTCCTTTTTGGAGGATTTTTAATGACTGTATCCTTTTTGTATTCCAAACTGATTTAGTGAAGCTAAAGATATGTGAACAAGAACTGAATCCATTATGTTACTTTTATCTTAATTCTTCAGTGATAATATATTTTGTTTGTAGTACAGAGAATAACATTATTTCTTAAGGTAGTTTTGAATGCTTTATTACTGTTGCTTTTAAATACTGGGCTGGTCTTTCAGATTTTTTACTGCTTGACAGGATTATGGAAATGAGGTTATCAGTTAAAAGGAGGCTGCTGGGGTGTGTGATCATGCTTTGACTGTCTAAGAGAAATGCTGTTGTTTCAGTGACTTCATGCTAAATTTATACTTCAAAGGAATTATTCGTGCTGCAGGTAGGTTGACTCCTGCTATGGGTGTTGAATTTGCTCGACAGTAGGTTTGATTGACTTGAACCTGGGAAAACAGAGTGAGCAGTTTTGTGGGAAACATAGGATCGTAAGTTAAACTGTGATATTCTTCTCGTGTTTGACCTCGCAACAATGACTTGGTGAACCATTTTCTTTAACTACCCATCACAGCTTTTTGGTCTGTTTGTGAACTTGGTTTTCTTGGGCCAGGCATTCACAATAATGCTCGTGTATGTATGGAGCCGCAGGAATCCCTATGTCCGTATGAACTTTTTTGGTCTTCTCATCTTTCAAGCTCCATTTCTACCCTGGGTATTGATGGGCTTTTCACTGCTTTTGGGGAACTCCATCATTGTGGATCTCCTGGGTAAGCAATTGCAAGAATCACAAGGATCTGTTCCTGCTGATGTTTTACATAAAACACAAAATGTGGAAAAAATGTCTTTTACTTAGTTCATCTACTATATTTATACTGGGCTTTTCTGATTTCTAAACTTTGTAGCATATTTTTTACTGTAACAAGGATGGAAAGTGCTTCTGATGCTTTGGCTTTTTATTGCTTGGAATCAGACCAGGTACACAGTCTGGCTGTGGGCATCAGACTACTGAAGTAAAATAGCTTATATTACTATTCTTATCAACTTCAATAAAGCCACGACATCAATAAGTTTAATAATGACAAGCAGTTTTCCTTGTATTTATGTCTTTTACTGTAAGCTAAGGTTTTCATCTGATGTCAGCATGCTGTATTTGTATATCTCTTATCATATTTTCTGTGAAAGAATCAATGTGTGTTGTTTTGTTGTTTGTTTGGGGTTTCTTTCTGAAAATTCTAGTGAAGCATTTGAAAGTTATAAAGGACAAGTATTGAAAAATCACCATTTGACTTTTCTTTATATACTAGGCATTGCTGTTGGGCATATATATTTTTTCTTAGAGGATGTCTTCCCCAATCAGCCTGGTGGTGGAAGGCTTCTGAGAACACCGTCTGTTCTGTAAGTGTTGCTGTCTGATTTGCAAAGGATGTAGAAAAGGTGTTTGCATGGAAAACTGTATATAATTCAGTCACATCACTTTCTGGTAAATTAAGGAGTTTGAGACAGAATTGTGGTGTGTCTGTACTTGCTTTTATTTAACTCGTGTTGCCAGACAAGGGAGGGAGGGCTGGTCTTACAGATGCGTAAGTGGGAACTACTTGCCAAGAAGGGCTAAAGGGGTTTTTGTAACGCTTGATTTCTTTGGTAACACTTTTTAGTCTTTGTTAACTGAGTTTTGCCTGTTGGTGGCAGCAAAGATGCATGTCTCTTATTGAGGTGTGAGGAATAAGAAGAGTCTTGCAGTGTACAGACAGTGACTGAGGTATTTAATATATCTAGTATTTTTTTTCATCTGTAAATCATTCTCTTTTTACAACTTTGGCAAAAGACTTCAGTTTTTGTACTACTGAGTGGTGCTACTCCTACTCGGTTCCCCCTTGCGTAGAGTGCTTGTAATTGTCTGTTATGCTGTGCAGCAGCCTGGGTGGGAGATGCTTGCCTAAGCAAAAGCACAGTTGAGACGTGGAAAGTTGAGCTCTGTGAGACTCTTAGAATTACCTAGAGCTGAACTGATTTTTTTTTGCTTGAACTAGCCCTCAGAAACCTGAGTAATTAAAACATCCTGTTCAGACCCATGCTTAGTTTAACTGATAGCAGTGTGATGGGACAAGTACGCTCCATGGATAGTTTATTTCTGTTCATTATTGGCTTTGTCTTCAGCAAGTAATTGTACCAGGTGATGGCTGCAGGAATGGCTGTCCCAGAACAGCTCTACTGGTCACTTTTGTGGGCCTACGCTAATCTAACTTGGCTTTAGCAGCTGAAGGCAGTTTCTGGTGAGGGCTACCTTCGTATAAATATAACTCTAGACAAATTGAGTGTGCAATTACACATGTGCAATAAGGAAATGTGAGATTTCCCGTTTTCACAGAGGGTGTATGCACCCAGCTGTGTGCAGGGGGAATCCCGAGGCTGTTGGAGCAATGCATGCTGTCTCAGTAATTCTCTCCCTCTGAAAAGTGTCAGTCTGTCTTCAGGCTACTTTTTAAATCCTTTTATGTGCCTGTGTTCAGAAGACTGTTTATGATTCTTGTCTGGGTCTAGAATGGTAGATTTTTTTTTTTTTTCTCAAATGCTGTTATTTTCTTTGTCTTAGCTATAATCCTTTAATAGCCCTGGTATATTCTTTTTTTCCTGTTCTGAACACTTCTCTGAAATGGCCCGTCACTCTGGGTGGAGAGGAATAATCCCTTTAGCTATTCTAAGAACTGTGTTGTTCAACACACTGTACTTTTAAGATGTTTTGGATGTAATGATTGCTTGTATGCAGCCTGTGATTTTCTTTGTTGTTTGTGTGTGTTTGTTTTTTCAAAAAAATCTATGATGTTTTTGTTTCTGGATAAACAAATCTACAGAGAGAGAACCTTTGAAACTAGATTTGAGAATTGCAAAATAACTGACAAGATTACGCATGATTTTTGTAATAAATAGGAAACCTGAGCCCCTAATGTTGTCTCAAATGCAGACTCTGGATTTCAAGTCCGCCTGTCGATGCCTGCATCCTGCCTGTGAGATTAAGATCATACTGCCTGTATTTGACTCTTATTTTGGTCCCTTCTCAAGATTTGAAGAGCTCTTAAATATCCCATTCACGTTTTGCTTCCTTATCCTGTCCTGGGAGAACATGCTGGCTATATGAAATTCTGCCTTACACTGGAGGTGGAACTTTCAACTTTCAGCTGAATCTCGTCAGTCTCGGTTGATTTAGGCACATAATTCTAGACGTTCTTCCAGATGGCTTCTAATTGGGGAGCAAGTGTGATGTGGATAAAAATCACCAGTACTTTGGCAGGCTGTTTCTGAGGGAGGACGCTGTTACATGTGCAGAATTTGAGCAGTCTTGGTCTTACTGTGAAACATGTATTCTAAAGGGGAAAAAAAAAAACAAAAACAAACCAAAACAAAACAGAACAAAAAAACAACACCAAAAAAACCCCAAACCAACTCTTCTGTTTTCCAGGAAAGCAATATTTGATACACCAGAAGATGATCCTAATTACAATCCCTTGCCAGAAGAACGACCGGGAGGATTTGCATGGGGAGAAGGTCAGCGCCTCGGAGGCTAATACAAGTCTGTGCCAAAACCCAGTGACAACTGGGAGAGACTGACGTGAATGAAGTACCATACTGGGGACTCTCATTCCCCATCACAGAAAGGACACTTTTTGACAGCTCTCTGGTTTTGAATACAAGCACTTTATGAAATGGCAGTCTAGTCCAAGACACTTCCAGGCTACCAGTGTCTTTCCCAGTCAGGGAATTTGTTGTTGCTGGTAATGAAAATTTTTGGAGCCAAAAACCTAAAACTGGAAACCATTTCCTGTCAACTTTAGTTAACAAGACCTTGAGTACTTCTTTAAAGTGATTTCTAAGGCATTTTTTTGAGCTATTTGATACAGGAAACTCTATGGGAAACTTTACAGGGGACAAAACCAACTTTTTGGGGTTTTAACTCATTTTTTATTCTTGGATAGAACAGCTACAAGATGGTTGAAAGTCTAAGTCCCTATTTCAGTGGCAAAAGGTTTTTTATCTGAGATGCTGTTGTCTCCAGTCGTGTTTGAATTGCAAGAAATACAACATGTAGCATAATGCAGGCTTTTCGCTTTGCCAGTTGGGTTTCTAGAATGTGCCTCTCTGAAAACACTTGCAGGCTGACACTACATTTTGATGGCTTTTCCCCCAAATACTGTGTGTTCAGATGACCAGGTTTGAGTCTGGGTGGCTTGTTGAAGTAGGTAGTTCAACAAAATCCACCCCCACACATGCATACTTCTAACAGTTATTAAATGACTTGGAGCGCTAGGTAAGAAAATTTGTCTGGATTCAGAACTGCTGACATATCTCAGATGGTGAGTGGAATAAAATGTCTTGTGGATCCTTTTTTGTTAATCCTTCGTATAATCCTGTAGTTGTGAGGCAGCTGGTGTGAAAACGGAGGTTGGAAAAAGCAAGTCCCTGATGAGGCATCGTTAAGCTTTTCCCACAAATGTCTCTCACAACTGCTAGGAAACAGGATTGTCTGCTCAAGATGTTAAATTCATGGTCTGTGTATGAAGTTTGTTGCAGGAGGACTGAGTGTCCACCACAGGTCAGTGACACTGAGTGGGACTTAACTTGAAGTTACATTGACTACAAATATCTTTATGAGGAGCCACGTAAGGAATTTGGAGTACAATTCAGCTCTGTAAGATGCTCAGTCACTCCTAAGATGTCATGGACTGTACTGGGTACCTCTTTATTGATTATGTTGTAATAGATAAAAAGAGATAGTTGAAACTACATCTTCCTCCTAAATTTGGGAGGCTAGGCTCACCCTTGACACATGTGATAATCTTGTTTGGTCTCAGATTTTGCTGCTGTTAAAAACTGGCTACAGGTTTTTAACTTGTTTGTAGTCCAGGAGACGAATGTGTGGGGATCTCATGGGGAAGTGCTTTCTCCCGGTGTATTAGATACTGATAAACAAAATTGGTAAGTCCATTTGTATCTGCATTTATCTGTTCGAGGTTGTAAAAACATAAGGGAGTTCTTTTGTTTGTTTGTTTGTTTCCAAAACAGTCTTTAAATCTTGGTGTCCTTGTTGCTTGTTTTCCAAAACAGGCTTTAAATCTTGGTATCTACGAGGACTAAAAATGTTTTGGGCAGTGTTGCTTCAGGGTAGCGTATGAGACAGGAATTGAATCAAAATATTTTTTGTTATTCCAGGTTTAAGAGCCTCTTAGTAGTTTGCTGGTGGGCCACTAGGGAATGGGGATGAAGCCAAGAGCCCTGTGGCTGGGATAAAGCCTGCTGGAAACCTGCTGTGGGGTGGGCAAGGTGGACCAGTTCCATGGCACGTATTTGTAAGACAGCTTGTCTGCCCTCGCTCTCCCAGAGCTGCTTTCCTTCTACGCTTCCCTCCCCTCAGGTGGAGGATTTAGGATTGCGTTGTTCGCAGAGTAACGCCGTCCCATCTGTATCTGGGAAGAACTTCGGAGTGTTGCTTCCTTGTACCCCAGGGCAAAATTGGCTCTTGCTGGCAGGTTACTGCCTATGACTGGGTCTTTCGTTGCCATTGAAACGATCCTTGGGCTGCCTGTCCCGCGAAGAAGTGTGCTTTAAGTACCGGAGTCGCCTTCGTCAGCCGTGTGTGATGTCAGAGGTGACTTGTGCCAACAAATCCGAGATGGGAATGACGTAGCTCTCGAAGGCGCCTCCCTGCCCTACCGTTAGCTCGCTGCCTTCCCGGGCAGACTTTCCCCTGCCCGGGGAGCGGGCTGTGCTGCTCCGCCATGTTCCGCCGGGCGCCCCGCCGCCTACAACTCCCGTGATGTCCCGCTCCGGGCGCCGCGAGGACGCCGCCGCAGCGGCGCGCGGGGCGGCGGAGCGGCCGTTGCCGGGGTGACGGGGGCGGGGGGGGTCGCCGCCATGTTGCCCGTCCCGCCGCCATGCTGCCCGGTTCCCCGGCGCCCCGCCATGCCGCCCGGTTCCCCCGCGCCCCGCCGCCGCCCCTCGACTCGCAGCGCCGCGACTTGCCCATCTTCCAGGCGCGGGCGCCGCTGCTCAGCCAGCTCCGCGCCGCGGACGGCGCCGTCCTCATCGGTGAGTGCGGGAGCCGGGCGGCCCCGGCGGGGGGTCGGGGCCGGGCCTGCCGGGGGGGCGGGAGAGTCGCACAGAAACGGTTTGGGTGTGAATCTGAAACGTGGTGAAGTAGTCATATTTGTATGGTTGAGTTTTGGCTGGTTAAGGCAGCCGGTGACTGAATTTTTCTGGAGAAGGCAAAAGCATTTTTCCTCTTCGTTTCGCCATCTGCTTGGAGTTCAGTCAGCTTAAAGCCAAATGGCAAAACCCAGCTCTTCGGGAAAAGTGGCTTCTCAGCTGCGTTCTCAGGGGCGTTCGCTAATCTTACTATGTTTTCTTTGAGTCCAAACGCATAAGATGTTTGTCTGACTTTTAGGAGCTGAAGACATACAGCTTCCCACCCAGAAGTCTAAAGACTCATTAGAATGAAGTTACAATTGTTTTTTATTTCACTCTTATAAGTGAACCCTTAAAAAGATAAAAATTAGTCATGATAACAGGTAGATGTGACTGTGTTTATCTCCTTTCCTCTGTATAATCCTGAGATTGTCATTATTGCTTGCTCAATATTCTCTATAAATACACCACTTATAATTTTGCAGCTGTGTTTTTTTTCCAGTCTGCAGCTGCAGTGCTTACAGTGTGGCTTTCCGATTTTTCTCTTGGTGACCATCCTGAACTTCTTGTGTGTCTTCCTCCTCCTGTTCATGCTCACCTCGCTCCCCCAGTGCGCTCCATGCTGTTGCTGTCTTGCAAGGATTGAGAGAGAGTACGGGGCTCTGTTTTCCAGAGCCTCATGGTTTTTCACATAGAGCAATTCTTGTAGCAGGCCAGTGGAAAGCTGAAGGGGATCTGATTTGAGTTAGACATGTCTCGAGCTGTAATAAAATGTGCAGCTCCTCTGCTCTTCTACGCACAGTGCACTTCAAGACAGTTTTGCTTGCAGTGCCTCTAAGCACTATGATTTGTGCCAGGTTTTGCTGTGCCCAGTAAGTTACATTTTTTGTTGCTGATGCTGTGGTAACTGTTGCTGGCAGCTCTCTGTGCTTTTGCTGATTGCTCTCTTTGGTAGAGGGGTCTACACAGAGTTTGTGTTGGAAATACACCTGAGGGGGGGCAGGACAGTATTCGTTAGGTTGTGTGCTAGTGCTGTGCGGATGGAGATGTTCGCCTCAGCCTGAAGGGACTGTCTCTGATTTCAGGAAGGTGCAGAGAAAGTCTTGCTGGCTTGTTGGTGCCCTGAGTGCTTCTCTAAGAGAGCCTCAGTCCTTAACTCTCTACCTGCTTTTGTGGCAAAAGCTTTGCTTTAATTTGCTTACAGCTTTACTTTGAAACTTTCTAGTGTGTAGTGTGAATGTATGCGTAAAACCAAATCGGAGTCTATTCCTTGCTCTGCATAATTATCTTCTTACGTTGGCAGTGTTATCCAACAAATGCTTCACATCCGGACAGACTAGAATGTGTTTCTAAACCAGAGTGTGGCTGGAGAGAACCTGTGTGAGAGGAGTTTTGTAGAGAAGTGCTCCAGTAACTAGAGCAAGGTGTTGGGTTCTGTCTTGGGCCTGCCTTTATGGTGTGACTTTGGGCAAGATGTCAAACCTCTTCCTGTCTTCAGCCTCCCCATCCTGAAATACGGTTAAAAATTAACATAAAAAAAATGAGCTGGGACCTCTCACTTGAAGAGGCTATGAAAGGGAAAAACTCTTCCTTTGATGTTCCTTAGGAGAAACGGGCTCAGGGAAGACCACTCAGGTCCCTCAGTACCTCTACGAAGCAGGAATTGGCCGCCAAGGCATCATTGCTGTGACCCAGCCCCGCAGAGTCGCAGCTATAGCCTTGGCTACCAGAGTCTCGGATGAGAAGAAGACAGAGCTGGGGAAACTGGTATGTTGCTTTACAAGGTCTTAAGAGAGTTGGTTTAGTACTGCAATGTCGGTGGGGCCATGTTACGGTTTAATGGGTAAGATAAAAAACAGCCACAGGGGTAATAGGTAGTCTTCATTTCATAATATGTCTGAATGGAAAAAAAAAAATGGCTGTTTACCTGCTTCTGGGGTGGGGGGGCAGTTGCATGTTTGACTCTGTGGTATTTTATTTCTTGATTTTTATCTGTGTTCCTCCACTTGAAAAAATACAGGTTAATTAATAAACCAAAAAAATACTGTGCTCTCTTCTATTGCTTCCTGTATCAAAGTGCTGAATCTGTGCAGATCTGTGAATCTCTGGGAGAGAAGTGGAGAAGAAACACTTCCCCTACGTAAAAACTTTGGAGAGCATGGAGTAGTTTCTAGCCGGGGAGGAAGGAAAGGAAAGTTAGAGCATTTGTGGTGAACTTCCAGTTTGGAATAAAGCCAACTGGGTTACAGTGTTGAGAGCATCCTTTGAGTGGATTATTAGATTTGCAAGATTAACTGCTCACAGAGTACAAATACACTGTTACACTTTCCAGAGCACCCCTGGCGTTCTAGTTGGCTCTGTCTCAGGCGTTGACCAGCGTGCTTTGTAGTCATTTGTGGTGCGATGGCAATGAGACATACAAGTAATTTTGTGCTCATACTTTCTGTAATGATTCCTTCCGTAGGTTGGCTATACTGTACGCTTCGACGATCTTACATCTGATGAAACTAGAATCAAGTTTTTAACAGATGGAATGCTGCTTCGCGAAGCTATTGGGGACCCTATGCTGCGAAAGTACAGCATTGTCATCCTGGACGAAGCCCACGAGAGGACTATCCATACCGATGTACTCTTTGGAGTGGTAAAAGCTGCACAAAAGAAACGAAAGGAACTGGGCAAACTGCCACTAAAAGTATGTGCATTCAGGATGGCAACGAAGGGCAGGGGTGGGCTGTGGACTCTGAGTGCTATGAGTATCTCCTAAGGTTTTCCAAAGTGTTTGAAATGTCAGCTTTGACTATTTTTCTGTTCCTAAAAAGATCCCTTTAAATCTGAATAGTTAAGGGTGGCCAACTTGTGATATGTGGGCCTGATATGACACATCTGAACAAGGTTGTTTCCATGTTGCCTTTTTTCATAAGAGCCCCTTGGGTGTAAGCTATAGATCAGATGCGTTGTTGGGGGAGGTTTTGGTGCTGTTGCTGAGAGCACCTTGGATACAGGAGCGCTCTGCCTGATACAACAGCTGTATGACATGTTGACTCTGGGGAAGGAGATTGTACACGTGTGTTGCATGGTCATGTAATGAATGTATGTGAGTACATGAAGTATGTGAAAGCATGTTGGTTTTGTTGGGGAGGGCATGTAGGGGACTGGTAGGGTCCTGGGAGAATCTTGTTCTGCAGCTTGGTTTTGTGGGCACTCGGTGCTCTATTAAATGTCACAAAATAATTTTAACACATTTTCACTCGTTTTATCATACCAACACATTATGCTTGTGTGATACCAAAGTTGATGGCTTTAACAAGGAAAGATCACACTCTTCTGTCCCACACTCTGTGTGCTTTTTGCTGTTCTGAGCATATATCTCAGTCTTGGGAAGCGGAGTTTTGGCTAGTCCCGACTGGTAAGTGTCCTGCTGGATCGAAACTGCAGTGCTAACCCATTTTATGCTTATATTGAAGGTGATCATCATGTCAGCTACGATGGATGTTGACCAGTTCTCCCAGTACTTTAATGGAGCTCCTGTTCTCTATTTAGAAGGCAGGCAACATCCCATTCAGATCTTTTACACCAAACAGCCTCAGAGCGATTACCTCCAAGCAGCACTGGTGTCAGTCTTCCAAATCCACCAGGTATGGCAGGCTTGTCAGGTTTGTGCCTCTCTGGGGCCGTGGATTGGTCGAGGGGCTCACAGGTTGCTGTGGCAGAAGAGGGCTTGAGCTTGCTGCTGCGGAATCAGAGATGTCCTGGAGGTGCACACTGCATCCTCTGGAAACGTGGATAGTTGGGGAGCGTGCCGCATTAGTGAATTGGGTTGGCTCAAGGGTGGGATTGATACATGCCAGTGTTAGTCCGAAAGTGGAAAGAAAGATTGGAAGTGGTCAACCATAAAGAGCCTTGGGTTGTGGGAGGAAATGCAGGAATAAGCTAACAGTAGCGTGAAGATTATTCTAATTTACTGTCAAAGTCTAACTGCAGAGCAAGTAGAAATCTATTAAATTGACAGCTTACAGGCGTTTTGTGATTAAATGTTTGAATACAAAACTGCCAGATGGTTGTGTCATTTAATTAAACTGCAATTAATGCTTTGAAGATGATGTTGCTGTTAGGAATTTGGGACTTGTACATCAAGGCTTGAGTTGAAAGGAGACTGCTAAGCAAAGCTCTCTGATGTTAATTCATACCTAATACCTTAAATGTTCCTCTCACCTGAGTTCTCTGTTTACTGGCTTGTACCTGGGTGCTTGCTCGTTCTCTTGTTTGCATGTTCTGGGCAGTTATTTAAGGAAATAGGCACGAGACTTGAAGCAATTCCTCAATCCTGTAAAATGCATTTTACTCTTCACCTCTGGTGAATCCGTTGGGAACTTCAGGCTGTCGCGTACCTCACACCACACATGTGTCTCTTCTTTCTTCCTTACCTGCTTTGCTGACTTGCTGTCAGGACAACATCTTGTTACAATCTCTGTTCTTCCTCCCTATCCAAACCACCTTAACTTCCCCCTTGCTTTTTCCTCTGGCTCCAGGAAGCACCCCCTTCTCAGGACATCCTGGTGTTTCTGACTGGTCAGGAAGAAATTGAAGCAATGACCAAGACCTGTCGAGACATTGCCAAGCATCTCCCTGACGGCTGCCCGCAGATGATGGTGATGCCTCTTTATGCTTCTCTGCCCTACTCGCAACAACTCCGTGTCTTTCAGGCTGCCCCCAAGGTGAGGCAGTATGATGGGTAAACAGGATAAGTTTGTTTGCTTGCATGAGTGTTTGGAAGAAATGTGGAATTGAAGGGGTTAAAGCTGTCTGTACTGATAGTAATAGTCTCCACTGTCTGCTGACTTTAGGCTGAGTGGTTCCAGTGTGGTATAAGACACTGCAACTGTGGTGGTATTAACAGATGCATGCGGTAAGTCATCTGGGATCATAAAAAAAAAGGAAAGATTAGAAAGGGTGAAAAATGGAGAGGAATTGATGTTTGCCCCACTTCCTAGGAATTTTGTGTCCATATCACAAAAAAGCTGCAGCAGTTAATGGGATGAATACTAAGAAAGCTAAAAACCTGGGCATATTTGGCAGGGCCATAAGAAAAGGAAATTGTGCTGCCTCAGGCCCTTTTGTACCTATTCAGCAGATAAATAAAAATTCAGATCTTGTGCCAGAAATGAACCTGAAATGGTTCAATAACAGCTGTCCTGGGTAGTGTATTTTGTTGCGAGTGTAAACACATGTTTTAGAAACTGATTAGGAACCAGAGATTATCCTTATTTATGAGAGCTGCCACAGCAAACACAGTATATGGTCAAAACATGCTGTGATGATATGTAGGCTTGGCTCACACTGGCCAAAAGTAGCAGCATTTCTTCACTGCAGCTAATCTAAGGTGCCTTTTGATGAGCTTTGGTTTGCTCTTCCTTCCAGGGCTGTCGCAAAGTGATCCTCTCCACCAACATAGCAGAGACCTCCATCACCATTGCGGGAATAAAATACGTTGTGGACACAGGCATGGTCAAAGCAAAGAAGTATAGCCCTGGTGAGGAGTCCTAAAGAACAATGCAGACGTTGTTTTCAGTTTTGTAGAAGTTATTTGAGGGAATGAATCCCACTGAGAGCTGATTTAAAACACCCTCTGCAGTGTCTAAATTAATATCCCAGGTTTTAGGTGTGGGCTTTGGTGGTGTTTTGTGGTTGGCTTTTTGATTTTCTTTTTTTAGTACCAGCCACGTGGGGGTAAAAATGTGTCCACTATGAATCTTCTCTTCATGGACAGAGTGCATGGTAGTTACCTTTGCTTCAGGGTGCGAAACCAAGTAACGTCTGAGCAGTATTTGGATGTCAGGCCCCAGAATTTTTTGCTGTTTTTCAAAGCTGTGCATTATGCAGACTTTGACTGAAGTGATGCTTTTCCATACATAGAAACTGGCCTGGAAGTGCTGGCCGTCCAGCGGGTGTCGAAGGCTCAGGCATGGCAACGCACAGGGAGAGCAGGGCGAGAGGACAGCGGGATCTGTTACCGGCTCTACACAGAGGATGAGTTTGAGAAGTTTGACAAAATGACAATACCTGAGATACAGAGGTGAGGACAGAACCCTGGTACAGTCATAGTTGCTACACCTCTTTTATGTGTTGCTGCAGATGGAGCTGTGTAAAGAGCTGGACAGCAAAACTGGATCTAGGGTCTGACTGGTTGACTTTGAAGAAAAATGAACTGTGCAAACTAAACAGAAAAACTAGGAAGCATTTGCTCATGGTGGACAGTTGGGCTCTGAGTCTCCAAACACACATGAGCAATAGTTCTGACTTTCCTTCAAATCTTGGACTTGCCTCTTACCCTTCCTTGTTTTGGAAGTTAGGCTTCACTAGCCAGTGTTGGACTAGTCTCTGTCAAGTTGCAACACAGATCTGAGTACTCTATCTCAGCTTCTAGGCAAAGAAAAAAAAAGATAAAAAGAATTTAAAGAAAAAAAAAAAAAAAAAAGAGAACAATCTCAGTTTTCTTTTTGCCTATGCAGGTGTAACCTGGCCAGCGTGGTGCTTCAGCTCCTGGCCATGAGAATTCCCAATGTGCTCACCTTTGACTTCATGTCCAAACCATCTCCTGGTAAGTGGTTACAAAGGCAGCCTTGGAAAAAAGTGACAAATGAGTCACTGAGGAATTGCTTAAAAATGCCTTCAGGCCAGCCAGAGAAGATGGAGTATGGAAGGTCAGGGCTGTGAAAGAGGAGTGGTCTCTCTCTGCTGCGTCTTCTCCTGGTGGTCCAGAAGTCTCAGGTTCATTCACGGCTCGTTGCTTCAGCTCAGTCTCATCAGAGCAGCCATGGTTACAGCAGAGAGCTGGAGAGTCCAGCTTCCAAACGGAGCAGGGTGCACGTTTGGGTCATAAAGAGCATGAAGGTGTCCCTTGACTGCCAAGGAGGTCCACAGAGAATCTCAGCCAGCCTCTGCTCAAAGATAGAGATGACAGCTTTAGTTCTGCCTCTGTTTTTTCTACTTAGATTAGAAAAGGTGATTGTTCTACCAGATGGAAGGGGATAAACCACAGTTTGGGGCACTAGTTTCTCTAAACAGAAAGTACTAGTCCCTCTGGCCAGGGGAAAGAGGTAGTGATGGTTCACATCCCTGCCAGTGCCAGCCAGGAGGCCTCACAGCCTGAACATCCTTGTTTTGGCAGATGCTATTCAAGCAGCGATCGAGCAGCTGGACCTGCTGGGAGCTGTGGAACGAAAGGAAGATCAGCTTGTCCTAACCCCCCTGGGAAGGAAGATGGCAGCCTTTCCTCTGGAACCAAAGTTCTCTAAAGTAAAAACTACAGAAAAATTAGCTGGTTTTATCTCATGTACTCTTCCCAGTACCACTGGCATTTTTCTTTCAAACTCCTTAAACAAGGTTAGGAATTTGGGACAACTGCAACTGTACAAGTATATTGGCTGTACATTTATGAAGCACAACTTTATTTACAGCAGCTATGCTGGCTTGCTTGTCATTTGTTGTATAATTCGGGGAGATTTTTTTAAAAGATAATTTCTTTCCACTGGCACCTCTGAAGCTGAGACAAGGCTAATTTCCTTGCAGTCTCTGGGATTGCTGGTAGCGCTGTTTAGCAGTTAAGTGTCCGATGCTGCAGTTGATTTTAGTCACTGTGTTTGTACTATATATGAACTGGCCAGTCTCAGGAAGGAGCATGACAGTTGCTGTTAAAGGTGCTTGGCGGGCCCTTGGATTTACAGTTGTCTCTAGGTCCAAATGTTTATGAAATTATCCTAAACAATGTTTGGTAAAGTTTCTTGACCGATAGCGAGCACAAAAGTCTACCCATCTGAAGTGGATTTGGTCAACCAAAAATCAGGTTTGTTCTGTGATTTGCAGACCATCCTCCTGTCCCCCAAGTTCCATTGTACAGAAGAGATCCTCACCATCGTGTCGTTGTTGTCAGTGGACAGTGTCCTCTACAATCCTCCTGCCCAGCGGGATGAAGTGCAATCCGTCAGGAAGAAATTCATCTCCAATGAGGGAGATCATCTTACCCTGCTCAGCATGTACAGAGCCTTCAAAAATGTCAGTGGCAACAAGGTAGGATGCTCTGAGGATGCCAGTGCTGCCTGGGCTCGTGGTGGTGAGCAGTTTTTCCGGCATACAGCAGAGTGAAGTCTGCATCCTTCCAAAGCAATGAGAGGACTTACTCCTGCTTTACAATTGGGTAATTGGAGCAAGCTGTTCAAGTGCCAAAGGTTCCTCTGGAAAGCTGGAGCAAAACTGGGTAGCAGAGCAAAACTTCCTGAGGCCAGTTCTGTAATCAGAGCCAGGTCTCTTACTTCCTTGGTTACAGCTCAAAATAAGAGGGAGTGGGAGAGTGTTGAGACTTGATGATAAATACCTAGACATGCTCTTTGGTAGGATTCATTGCAAAACCACTGAGCATATTTGCAAGCCGATTTTGATTTATCATACCCTGTAAACTCAGTTTGATTTGTAGATCTATAGACTTGTGTACCCTGTTCCTTCCAGGACTTGTCATTCTTAAGTGATTTATTTTCACCACCTGTGGGATAGCCAGTGCTGTTTCACAGCACTCCATGACCTTGCAGAAAAATTCTAAGCAGAAAGAGAACACCACCATGCTGTTTCTTAGCACTGTGGAAGGGAGTGTAGACAGAGGGGAGTAATCAGAGGTAGGAATATGACAAGGAAACGGGCTAGCACCTTTCCTCTGAGAAGGATTGTGTCTGTAGAGGGTTCTGCTTTTCACGGTATCCAAAGACATGCTGCTTGGGTGAAGAAACGGCCCCTTTTTGTGGTGAATTCTCGTGCCCGTGCGCAGCCTGGTCTCATGTCGGTGACGGAGCCAATCCCAGATGCCAATATGGTGCGCAGAAAGCGCTCGTTTATTAAGCACTGGTGATGCATATTTATCTTATGTTCCGTACACGGGCCGAGCACGCGTACTGCGTTGCGATTGCAGGCTACTGACGGGGTGTGTTTGTGATCGGTGCTGCGGGCTGACCACTCGCTGTTCCCGCGCCTTAGCGGATGGGCTGCTGCTCGCCTGAGTCCGTTGCCAGCTTCCTCTCAAAGCGTTGAGCCATCGCTTTTGTTTCCTTCTTTGTGTCCTTGGGTGCCTTGGTGACTCTTATCATAGATCCTGATAGGGCCGCCGGGCCACGTAAACCCCCACACCTCTAACTCCCAGTGTCTCTGCTGCAGGAATGGTGCAAAGAGAACTTTGTCAACAGCAGGAACATGATGCTTGTGTCAGACGTCAGAGCTCAGCTCAGGGACATCTGTGTAAAGGTAACATGTTGCCATACTGTATTTCTCTGTTTCACCTGTTTGTATTTTTCCGTTTGTCCCCAAACTGATTTCACTGTGCACCAAGTCCCAGGAGTGAGAAAATGTGGTTTTGTTTTCAGTCTCCCATGACTAGTCAGGTAAAATTCCTAACTCTGCATCTGCATCCCAAAATCTCAGAGCTGCAGGGCTCAGTGGGCTGAGGAGAGGTGAAGAGAAAAGAGGAGCTCTGGGTACGCTTCTCAGGTAGAGGACAGTATTTTCTCAGGGATTTCACCATTCTAGGGTAGATGTGACTGTTCCGTGTGTGCCACTGAGTGATGTCAGCCTGAGCAGCTCATGCTGGCTGGCTTCTTCACGGAGTCAGGCACTCAGTTTAACAGCAGCCTGCACCTCAGCACTGTTCCTGCCAGTCACGGAGCGTAAGGTGCAGCGTGGGAGCTGCTGCTGAATTGCTTGCAGTCTGTATGTGACGTGGGAGCCACCGTTTGGCACCTCTCTCCTGCCATGAGTGCGAGCTGGCCTGAAACTCACTCCCAGGAGAGTTTCGATCCATTTTGTGGCTCATCTTTTTTTTTGAACTTGTCTGGATTAGCCTAATGTCTACCTGAGCTGAATTCCTAGCAGTCCTTTTATATTTCCCACGCTAGCAGGATTTCTGACACAATATTGCCTGACCTCAGAGGCCTGCTAAAACAGGGCTGTGTTCCCCCACGAAGGTGGACGTACACGCTCCCTGACTCTTGTGTGTCTCGCTGCTGAACAGCTATCGATGCCGATCGAGTCCTCCCGCTCCGACACCGGAAACATCCGCCGCTGCCTGGCTCACAGCCTCTTCATGAACGCCGCGGAGCTGCAGCCAGATGGCACCTACAGCACCGTGGACTCGCACCAGCTGGTGGCCATCCACCCCTCCTCCGTGCTCTTCCACTGCAAGCCAGCCTGCGTGGTTTACAACGGGCTGCTTCACACCAACAAGTGCTACATGCGGGACCTGTGCGTGGTGGATGCGGACTGGCTGTTTGATGCAGCCCCTGACTATTTCCGCAGGAAGCTCCGAACGGCCAAGAACTGACCCGTGGGTCTGGGACCAACGGGTCCAGGGTTTTTAGGCTCACCCTAAAAGACTATTTTTTCTTCCTTAATGAATGAAAGCAGTAGAGCTTTGCCATCCTGGAGATGTCGAATGTCATCCTCTATGCTGGCTGGTCCATCAGTTATGTTGAAACAAACACATGCCTTCAAAACCAAAGCAGCGTTTATATTGTCAAAGGAGGAAATAGTCCCCCGTCAATCAATTTTGTGATGTTCATTGGCATACAGCTGTTACCTACTCAGAAAAACATTAATATCAAAATCACTTGTATCCTTAGCAGGTTTTATTGGGAAAGAGGAAAAAGAAAAAAGTTTTAAATGTCTACATACAGGGGCAAAAATGCCTTTTTAAAACTTATTTTTAGAAGGGAGGTGCTACTGTCTTTTACCTCAATGAACATCTTTCTGCCTGCATGTCAAGTTCACTGTCTTATTTGGGACTGTACAAAGGCCAGTGAGGGGAATGCCTGCTTGGACAAGGTCTTTGCTGCTTGTGTCTAAGCCTGTGGGGCTGGCAGTGCTTTCCTGGAGAGGTTATTCAGCTGCCTGCATGTTTGAGGAAACGGTCCACCACCAATCAGTTTTGTGATGTTACTTGGTGTTATTTTTTCTGAGTAGGTAATGGCTGTACAGTGAGAAGAAACATTAGTATCAAAATCGTTTGGCATAGTGTAATTCTGTAACACAGCTACCTGGGTTAGCACGCCAATAAAACACTGTGTCCAGAAGACCTGCAGTTGACAATCTTAACATAAAAGGCAGATGAGTTAGTTACAGTAGCAGCTGACCAAATCTAAGTATTTACATGTTGATCTTGCAGAAATGGATCCAGGGTATGTGCTTGTAGTATAAGACTACGAAGCCCGATGAGCCAACCTGTGATAGGGGAGGAAAACAGGAGTGTCGTCTCCTTCCAGTCGTACCTACGCTGTCGCTCCAGCTCCTCTGGCTAGTGTCTCGGGGTTTGGGAACCTGAGGTGGGGTGATGGCCCACACAGATTGGGGAGCTAGGGCTTGTGCTTTTTCAGATTGAACTGCAGTTCAGTGTTGGAGCCGCAACAGCAGTGACACCATTCCAATGCTATCTCCTCTAGAGAAGGCACGGGTATTCATCAAAGATACCTGAAATACAAAGAACAAATAGAAGCCAAACCCTTCGTTTGTTTGCTGTACCTTATTTGGTATTTCTCTAATCTGTCCGTACCAAACTATTCCTGAAATTGTACAGTAGTACTAGGGCCCTGTGTTTTCTTTGGATTAATTGCCCAGCCTTGGTCCTGTAAATGCACTTTCAGTGACTCGGCAGCTGCTTCATTTCTTTGTTGTGATTCTGCCATAATCAATAGATCATCATTATATTGGTAAACTGTCACAGTACCCAGCCATAGAGCCACATCAGCTGCTGTCATTTGGTGGCAAACAGAGGGACTGTGTTTGTATCCTGAGGCAGTACTTGGAAAGTATATTGCTTTTGCTGCCAGGTAAAGGCAAACTGGTCATGGCTTTCTGAAGCAATAGCTATTGAAAAGAAAGCATCAGCAAGATCTATTGACACCTTCCAGGGTTGTACATTTTTGCTCATTTTTTCTATAAGACTAGCCATATTTGGTACCATAACTGCACCTGGGGGGGTGACTTTATTCAGTTCTCTGTAATCTACAGTCATTCTCCGAGTGCCACTTGGTTTATGAACAGGCCAAATAGGATTATTGAAAGCAGTCCTAGTTTCTCTAACAGTTCCCATTTGTTGAAGTTCCCCAATGGTTTGAGTAGTTTCTTCCTCCCCTCTGGAATACGATATTGGTTTAAAGTTACCACCTTTAAGCCTGCACAGGCAGCACAACAGGACCCCACTTCAGGAATCCCCACAAGACAGTTACAGATTGAATAGCAAATCCTGCTTGCAAAGTCCTGAAGCAGAAGCGACCATTTAAAGTTTCAACTGTTCTGCCAATGCATCCATGCACAGATATGTTCTGTAATTGGGGCAATTAACACCATCGTGGTAAATGGCATGGCATTCCCTATTGTTAGTTAACCTTAGCTCAGAGGGCAGGGGTCAGATCCCCCCCAACCCCAGATCCGTGATGTGATTTCTTTATTACTGATATCACAACAGAACACAGTAACCTCAGCTCCTGTATCTGCTAGAGCTAACATGTAAAATCCTCCCAACTACCACTTCAGAGTCGGAGGCACATATGGCCATCGGTCCCCCTCACAGCGAGAGGCTGCAGTAGTAGCAATTTTTGGGGACCTGCCAAACCTTAATTTGTACTTTTTTGGCATTTGCCAGGTGGTGTCTTGCCTTGAGGTGGCAGGTGGGGGTGGAGGGTGGGCCTGGAAGTGGCAGCAGGGCCAGGGATGGTCGGCTTTTTTGCATAAATGCTAACTTTTGCCACCAGTGAAACATTTCTGATGTTGTGATCCCAACTATTTCTGATCGTGGGGTACTGGCTTGTACAAATAAGGGGAATGCCTGCCTGTCCAGGGTCTTCGCTGCTTGTGTCTAAGCCTGAGGGGCTGGCAGCGGTTTCTTGGAGAGGTTGTCCAGCTGCCTGCGTGTTTGGTGTCATCTTTGTTTGCCCCTTTTGCTGTTAGGGCGTGTTGTTCTTCAGCAAATACTTGTGGCTTTTCTGACTCTTTTATGTGCCCTTGTAGCTTTGGAGTTGGCACACCGTCCACAACAGCTAATCAGGGCAACTTGCAGAAGACAGCAAAATGATAATGAAGATGTGGTTTAGAGATTGGGCTTTCTTTAAAGGTCCTTGAATCATCAGTTGTTTGTGTCTCCTGCTCTGGCACCAGTGCTTCTTCCCCCTTATGCCTCCCCCAACCTGCTCCTGTTATAATTTAGTTTTCCATTAGAAGTTTGGAACTTTGTGTTGTCAAGAACCACAGATCTACCATTAGTATCACTTGGTTTTTCTTCCATATTCCCTTGGCATCTACTTCTTTCTTTTTTTTTTTTTTTTTCCCTCTTGGAGAAAAGAGGCAATACCAAACAATCATCTTTTAAAATATGGAATTAAGAAACTAATGCCACTCCAAAGGGGAAACTTATTATTTTATGTGAAGGAAAGTGGATTTATTCCATTATCGCTTGCAGTGAGCAGCACTGGGCCTTTTGTGTTTCTACTCACTACGGAGCAGCGGTGACAGCTTTTAGACAAAGGGGACACAATGCCAGGAAACAGTTTGTCTCGGTCAATCTTCTCTCTAAAATATATGTTGCTAAAAGGAGGGGGAAAAAATTTTTTTTTCTTTCCTGCTTCTGAGTAAACTGAGTTCTTGCCAGAAAGCGGGCTCTTCTGACCCAGGGTGGGTGGGGTGATGTACAGGAGTAAAGCGTTCAGCCCTTACACCCCTTTTCCTGCTGCCCCGAGGGAACCCTCAGCATTTTTTTCCACATCCCTCTGCGTCTCTCAGCGGTGCCCCGGCCCCACCTGAGCGCCGGGGCGGGAGAGGCGTCCCTGCCCCGTCCCCCCGCCCTCGCTTTTTAATTTTCACCACCGCTTTTTTTTTTTTTATTTTAAACCACCCGCCAGCGATGCTGCGGGCGCGTTCCCTTCCGCCGGGGCCGGGACTCGAACCCGCGGCACCCGCTCCCCGCCGCGGGGGCCGCCGGGCCGGCTGTGGGCGGAAGCGCGGCGGGCGGTTCCGGGGCCGGGCGCGTCCTCTGCCCGCCCGCCTCGCCTCGCCGCGCCGCACCATGCTGCTCGCCAGGGCCCTGCGCGCCGCCGCCGCCCTGCGCCCGCCGCCTTGCCGCCTCTTCGCCTCCTTCTCCTCCTCCTCCTCCTCTCCCCGCGCCCTCCTGCCGCCGCCCGGCGCCGCGCCGCCCCTGGCGCGCTCCCTCTGGCAGCTGGGCGGCGGCGGGTGGCGGACGGCGCTGCTCCGCCCGCGGCGGGGCTCGGCTGGCGGCGTGTCCTGCGGCTGCGGCGGCCTCCACACCGAGGGTGAGCGGCGGGGGCCGGGGCCGGGGCCGGCCCTGAGGGGAGGCGGCGGGGGGGTGGGTGGTGCAGCACGTGCTGGGGGGCCATTTCCTTCACCCACCCACCCCCCCCCCCCGCCATTTTCTCAACCCCTCTCCCCGCCAGGCGACAGAGCCTTCGCGGAGTTCCTGGCGGATGAAATCAAAGAGGAGAAGAAGATCCAGAAACACAAATCGCTGCCCAAGATCTCCGGCGGGTGGGAGCTGGATGTCCGCGGCACGGAGGCCAAGCTGGTGCGGAAGGTGGCGGGGGAGAGGTGAGCGCGGCCCCCGGGCGGTAACAGGCACCGCATTTCTCCTGCTCACGTTACTTTTATTGCTCTCTGTCCGGCCTGTGCAAACCGGGCGTTGCACAGGCTCTTTATTTTACCACCTTGGGCTTTTTGTTTGTTTATTTTTTTTTTTCATTACACAAATTTGCTGCTATCTTGCGTTGCACGGTTTCATGCAGTCTTCCTGCGTTAAAAATAACAGTTGCTCAGTAAAACCTGAAAAAAAAACCGCTTGCTAACGAGAGCAGTTGGAGGAAGCCAGCTTCATTCAGTGTGTCTTAAACTCTTCCTGCAACACCTGGTCTTGTTCATGGTGCGTGAATTCAGCACCAGGAACGCTGCCCCCACAACAAAAGCTTCAAATAGAAGAAATTTTGATGGGTGTTTCTTGAGCGTGCTCAAAGTAACTGCTTCTGTTTCTCTTGAAGGATAACAGTCACCTTCAACATCAATAACAGCATTCCGCCCTCAGTTGATGAAGAAACACAAGAAGAGCAGAAACCTGATGAACAGGAGGTAAATTTAGTCTTGATGTGCGCTTTGGTGATGGGTATAACCTTGCCCTTAAGTGTTGAGGCTTTTTTCCCTCTCACTTGATACTTGGGAGCATTGTCACAAAATGCAGATGTTTCTGGGTTGTTTGTCACTTGGCTGTGACCTTCCTCTTTGCAGCAGAAAGGCAGAACCGGGTGAGAGGCTCTGTGGGGAGAAATGAGAGGAATTTGAGTATGTCTTGCATTTGCAACCCCCTGCAATTAATGCTGCATTTTGTACCTAGCTAGTGTAACTCTCTGTGCTGGTAGGCAACATCAACGAAGCGCAAAGTTATTCACATGACTTCACTTGAGTAGTTTTGTTGGTCAGAAGTGTCTCACTCCTGTTTAAAGAAACTCTGTAAGTAGGGATACTGGTAGAAACTAAATGAACAATATAAAGCAATATAATTTGCAGCACATGGCTTCATGTGCAGTGACACTGATGCCAAACGAGTGCAGCTGCACCATGCCTGGTTTGTAGCAGTTCAGTTCCGCTTTCTGAAGGGCACTGTTTATTCCAGCACGTTGTACTCGGCTGGGTGGGACAATACTGGGGACACTGGTGCACTGCTTCCCCTCCGGGACATGCCTGAGGGCGCAGCGCAGGATCGCTGCACGAGGAGGTGTGTCTGGCAGTGTGTGCCCTGCTGGGTTTCCTTCAGGAGGGAGGGCAGGCACGAGCAGCTCCTGCTCTCAAAACTATCTGAGTCTGTTCCCAGGTCCCGTCGCTTTGGAGGGAGCCATCAGGTGAGCTGCAGGCTCTGGCTTGTCAGGGGGTGGCCAGTGCTCCCAGGTGCCATTTTACTGGTGTGACCAGCTGCAGAGCAGGCGAGGGGCTGAAGGGCCATTGGCGAGGTTGGGGGCTGTTTGGGTTGCCCTGGTCAGGTCAGAGATTCCAGAAAGAGGGTGACGGGGAACAGCCCGCGCGGGAGGGCTGTGTTGCTGGGCTGTACTCTCATCACCTTGGTTCCTGTTCAGACTCCAGTGCTGATGCAACTTTTCTTTTATTTAGCCTGATCTTACATCAACTCCAAACTTTGTAGTGGAAGTAATAAAAGATGATACAAAACAGACCCTTGTTCTCGACTGCCATTATCCTGAGGATGAGGTGGGTATCCAGCTGGTCGTGTGTCAGCCGTGGCCAACTCTGAGCTGTGACTTGCTGCACGTTTCCTTCTTGACTGTTCTGTAATTGTGCTGCTGTTCAATCTAACTGCTCTCCATAGTGTGTTAGTTTTCTGAATCTGCAGAAGATGCAGTCTCCTCTGTTTTTTTTTCACACACACACACACACACACACACACACACAAGGCTTTGTGTTTGCAAGAATACTCTCTGGAGAGGAGATGTTAGGTTGCATTCCTCACATCCTGACCTGGTGTTTCTGATCAGCTGCTTATTGGCCCATTTGCTGAATTTGAGGAGGGAGGCATGGCTTAACTTTAACAGCATGACAACTTGAGAGGGGTAAACAGGAATGGCCAAAATAAGATAGATTTAATACAGTGACAGTAACTTGCAAATCTCATCCTTGTGAGGTGTCACAAAGAGAAGTAGGGATTACAAAAAAGGGTGGGGGCAGGAATAAAATTGAGAGCTTTGCTTCAGCATGATCTTTGTGGGTTATTTTGTAAACCTCAACAGATCATTTATGCAGCCAGTCCAAGCTGACAAAGTTAGACAGACTTGTGAAGACAGATTTAGGACAGAAGAGGTTTTACATCTTGGTAAAAATCAGATGGCTGACTTGCATCAGGTCACTTCTGGCTGGCGGGGCTGGTAGCCTGATGGGATTTCCTGTGCTGATTTCCAGAGGGCTGGTACAGGCCTTGGGGGTTTGCCTGCAGTGTAACATTCCTCACTCCAGGATGAGGTGGCGGAGGGGGCCCGGTAGTTACAGCTAATTGTGCACCTTACATGTTCCAGGTTGGGCGTGAGGAAGAGGAAGAAAGTGATATTTTCACAATTCGGGAGGTCAGTTTTCAGCCCACGGGAGAATCAGACTGGAAGGACACCAACTACACCCTCAATACGGATTCCCTTGACTGGGTGAGTGCTGCTAACACGGCCGTAGGCTGCAGAGGGCACCTCAGCCTATCCCGCCTGCTGAGTTAGGCCCGAGTCCTGTCCCAGATGCCCAAGATGGGGGATTTCCCCACTCTGCCCCAGCTCGCCGTGAGACAGTGGTTCTGCTGCAGAGTGAGGGTTATTACGTGGTCCCAGCAGCCGCGCAGTGCTGGTGACGTTACCGGCAGCCAGACAGACCTGTCGAAGCTTGCACTGTTCTGGGTTTTGGAGATTAATTTTCTAGCAGCCACCCTACGCTTTAGAGGTGTTTTGACAATTGCTCAGAAGTCTTTTGATCTGTGTGTTTAACCATGTAGCTTATCAGATACCATGGATAGACGTCTTTGTTTTCTGGGTTTTCCAGGTATGTTTTTATAGTGCTGACACTAACAACTGATAAGCCCAAGAATTTGGCATCACCTTCTATATTCTGTGTCAGGCTTTCAGAAGCTTAAATCTTACTTGGAGGCTCTGTATCATATAGTTAAAAATTTACTCCTTGAGTTTATCTCTCTTTGGGAAGCATTTGTGTTCAAATTGGTTAGTGTGCTCTAGAACATCCCATGCTGCTGTTTGGGGGCTTTTTTCCCTCTCTGACTTGAGACAGAAAATTAATAAAAAATGTGTATGGTTTGTGATTACTCAGATTACAAAAGTCCCAAATGAACCATTTGCTCGGTAATACTGGTCTATAAAAAAAAAAAAAAAAAACAAAAAACAAAAAACACAAACCAAACCAAACAAAAATAATAAAAAAACCACCCACAATCCCAGACAAACAAAAAAACCAACCAAACAAAAAAACCCCAACAACAACAAAAAAACAACAACAAAAAAACCCAATAAATTCAAGACAGTATTATCATTACTGCAGTATGGTATCTGTTCTCCTGAGGAGCAAGGGGGGAACCCGCAAGCATTAACATATACTAGAGTTGCAACAATTACGTAGAATTAAAAAGAAAAAAAAAAGTTGATTATTGTAAGAGACTTAGTCTTTCAAACAAGTATTTACATCAGATACTACCCTGATCTTCCAGAGAGAAGGAAATGCCAGCTGCCATGGGGCATTTTAAGAGCAGCCCCTAAAAAGCCCAGATGTGCTCTGCTGAGGAAGTTTCCTGTTCTTTGCTTCCAGGCTCTGTATGATCACTTAATGGATTTCCTGGCTGATCGAGGAGTGGACAACACGTTTGCTGATGAGTTAATAGAGCTCAGCACTGCACTGGAGCACCGGGAGTACATTAAATTTCTTGAAGACCTTAAAGGCTTTGTCAAATGTCAGTAGGGTAGGCTAGGAAACACCTTCAAGCGTGAGTATTCCAGAGCACTGCTCCAGCCAGCAGTACCCAAATATATCTTCACACCCGATGCAGAGAGTAACTTGGAATTTGGAGAATGAGGATTCTCACTTGTATTTGGGGATTTGTATTTATGTTGCAGCCCAGATCAAGTTCTTTACCATTATGGTCCAGAATTGACTCGCCCTGCTTGGTTGGTTTTGTACAATTAAGAATGAATGTGGAGAATAAAATCCATTCAACATATCACTGAAAACTGGTGGTTTCTCTTTTTTTCCTGCTGTCATTGCTCACCAGAGCGCTGCCATAAGAACATTGCTAGTGGCTGCTGATGTTAACAGAGCTGTTAACAGAGCTGCTCCCAGAGCTGCTGCCGCCGTTTCCTCCAGGGAGAGCTGTTCAGCAGCTCCAACCACAGCGCCTGCCCTGGCTCCAAGCTGTGCTGCAGGAGGAGTGGCGCTGGCCGAGCCGTGCTAATCACGAATGAGACTCAGTCTGGAAGCCTTGGCTGTCTGAATAGGTTAGGGAATCGAATTCAGGGTCTTAACCACTGTGCTTGAGGAGCTGTTTTAAAAAGGGCTGTGCTGCCACAACCTGTTACATTAGTGTTAACTGAGCTGTTCTAGAAGAAAACCGCAGAGGCTGGAGCACTCAAGTTCCAGCAGCACAAGTGAGGCCCGAGGCGCTGCTGCAGGGCAGCCAGTGCTGTTACCCAAACCCTGGCTCCAGTCCTTGCCTGAAGGTCACAGTAAGGTCAAAGAGAAATCAAAGCTGGAGGCCAGTGTGAGCTGAGATCACCCATGCCTTGTTAAAGACAACATGAAGGCTGACATATATATACTTGGTTTATTTATTTCAAAATATATATTGTGCCATTAAAAGTGCAAGTCAAGGCAGTCCTACTGCCTTTTCAAGTATCTTTTTGACACAGCAGTTCCAAGCATATACATAAAAATACTAGCAGCTCTGGATGGATTTTTAGTCTTGAAGTCCCTCCAGTAAAAAAGCAGCAGTTGCATCAGTTTACAGGAGAATCGTCCAGGAGTCACAGACCTTTACAAAAGGTAAGTTGGAAAGAGAAGCTATAGCAACGTATGAAATAAATTATTAATGTTCCAAACTCTTTGAAATGCTCTGCTCCTAACGCTTTCCTCACAGTGATTTTACCTCACCAGCAAAGCAAAGAACTTGCTAGGTCTAGCTTGTGCCAAAGGGATGGTACGCATTTTTCAAGAGGCACGGGCAAGCCTTTTGAGGAGGCTTAAGCCAAAGTAATTTTTAAAACTTCCTCATCGACCACTTACCTGAACAGATGCTTCACACAAGACCTGGAAGTTGTTGGCTAGTGTGTGAGAAAAGGAAGGCACTAAATTTAACAGGTCCTTGAAAGATTCCCTAGTCCAGCACTTAAGGTAAATCGTGTCCTCTGGCTCATTTTACTGTTACTGGTGGTCAAGAGTAAAACCATTTCCAAGGAAGTTTGTGGAAAACCAGCAACACAGACCCCCGGGATCAATGGCCTGGTGGCTTCTGCTGTAATTGAGAAGCAGAGATCCTCTCCAGGAACCCAACTCACCGGACAGCTCATGAGAAGACTGGCTTCCTCCTCCATGCCACTGGTAACAGTGAACTCTGGGTTGTGAAAGCACCTGTGACTGTGCTCTGTTAGTGTGTTTTCTAGAAGTGACCGAAGCTTCTCTTCTGTCATACCCTGAGAAAAATTGGGGTAAAAGAAATCTTACACTGAAGTTGCTGTCTGTAGCTTGAAACTGCCTCTTCGCAGCAGCAGACTTCGGGTGTCACATTTAACACGTTACTCACAGCCCAGCTCACCTGCGTGCTGATGTACAATCCACACTGGCAAAAAACCAAGTGATTCCTTACAGTCAGGTTATTCCTAGAAAGAGCATACACTGAGCATCATCACAGCACCCAGGACAAAGGCAGATTTTAGCAAAACGCCTGCTAGATTTAGGAGATCATTGCTCAGGTTTTTTTATTTTGTTGAAATTAACACTTAACAGCAGCCTCTGCCCACCGCTTTTGCCTGTTTCTAAACCCAAACTGAGCAGAGGGCCTCATGCCAGCGCCAAGGGCTTCCTTACTTTCTACACACTGGGCAGATGACCTTGTCGCTGGCATCCAAGCCATCGAGCATCGCGTTGAGACATTCTTCATCAAACTGCAGGCTCTGCATGTACTCTTCTAATACCGACTGTTCTGCAATAACACAGCAAAATACCCTCAGGTGTCTGTTACGAGCTGAAGACAAAGCAGCACATGTGAAGCTGCTGGAAGGTGGAGGCTGGGGCAGCCACTAGTTTCTGAACTTTTCTTCCTTTGGATCAGATTTCGACGCTTGAGGAAACCATTCCTGTTAATCCATTTTTTTCCTACAGCTCAATCTTTAGCCGGTCGCAAGGGGGTGACTTCCCACTTTCCAACCAACAATTTAGAAACATTCTGAATTGATTTATACAGGTTCCTACAGCTCCCAAACACCTTGGTGCTGTTTCTCTGGTCTCCTCTCTTATTAGCTCCACACAGACCTCAAAATGCCACTTAAAACTATCAAAAAAGATCTCAGTGCATTAGAGGGGCTACGGAAATTTCCAAGGAAGCTCTTCTGTATCCCATGGCCTGCAAGAACCAAGGAGGGTAGCCTCATCTAATTCAGATTACTAGAAAGTCAGGACTATTACAAATCAAAGAGGAGTCAGAAAGTGTGTAGAGAATTTACCTTGCAAGATCAGTTCTCGCTGGATCTCTTCCAATACTGCTAGCTCATCGGGGTCCTCTAGCATCTGAAAGGTGCATCATTCAGTGATTTTTCCCACTCTGGCTACTTTCTCACTTAACTTCCAGCACCTGACTGAGCTGCCACTGTAGCTTATTCTGTCTAGTAAATCTCTGTATTTGCAAAACCAGGCATCGTGTAAAGCAATTTATAATACAACCCTCTGTGCCAGCCACAGTGAATCAGAACACAGCCTGTCCGAGAACTTGTGTTTTAAAACACTGAAGTTTTATTCCTGTTCTCGGGAGAGGTCAGTGACAGACCAGCTCTGATAATCACAGACAAGGAACCCCCCGCCACGATTCACACACAGTTTGTGGAGGAAATAAGGAAGCTCCCGACTCGTGGGCACAGAGGCAAACCACTTCCCCACTGCAGCACCCCACACGGGTTGTGGAAGCAGGGGACCCGGAGGCTTTGAGTTTTGCCAACTCCAACCAGCGAGAGACTGAAGTTACGGCTGCGGAGGGATGGACTCGGTGTGCCCGCACGGGACACGCAGTGCGGGGACCGCGCCAGCCCAAGGGTTTGCACCGACCTGGGCCAGGGCCTCCTTCCCCCCGAGAGCCGGCCGGCTGTGCTCCTGCTGCTCCTGCTCCATCGCCTCCCGCAGCTCCTGTTCCTGCAGCTCCTGCCACTCCTGCTCCATCACCTCCCGCACCAGCAGCGCACCCGGGGCCGGGCCGCACGCTCCCTGCCCGGCCTGGCGGTACCGCTCCAGCAGCTTCGCCCGGCTGTTCCTCAGCCTCTCCATGCAGCGCTTGGAGGGAGCAGAGCACAAGGAGCCCGTCAGCGCGGCGCGGGGGCCGGGGCTGAACCCCCTCACACACCCACCCACCCACCCCCGCCCGCCAAGGGCCGGCCGCATCCCGGAGGGGCCGCGCCCAGCCCCTCGCACGGCGGGAACAGCCTCCGGGACTGAGGGGGCCGAAGGCGCGGGCAGGTCCCCCCTACACACACACACACTCACACGGCGGTAAGTCTCCTTCCATGGCGGCGCGGCCGGGCCCCCGCAGCGCGCGCGGAACCGCCGGGCCGGCGGCGCCTCCATGGCCCGCCGCGGGGGGGGGGCCGCGGGGCACGCCGGGAGATGTAGTCCCGGCGCGGGGCGGTGACGCGGGCGGCCATGGCGGCCGAGTGGGGCGCGGCGGAGCAGTGGCGTGCGGCCCTGCCGCAGCACGCGGTGCTGAGCCGCCTCCGCGAGCGCGCCGCCCCCCACGGGTCCCCCCCGACCCCGGCGCGGCCGCCGCTCATCCGCAACCTGCTCTTCGGCCTCGACGGAGATCTCTTCCTCTGGGATGGCGAGCGCAGCGCCCTCCACACCATCGGCCTCCGCCGCCTCGGCGGGCCCGACCCCGCCGGGCTCAGCCGCTACCAGGTGGGGGCCGGCGCTGAGGGGCGGGGGGGCGCGGTTAGGGGCTGGAGTGCGGTTGTGAGGGGGCCGTTATGGGGAGGGGGGGGCCGTGACGGCAACGGGACTGAAGAGGCCGTGATGCGGGGGGGGTGTGTGTGTGGGGGTGTCGTAACGGGAGTGGGGCTGAGGGGGCCGTTATTGGGGGGGGGGGGGTCGGCGGGTGGTTGTGAGGGGGCTGTTATGGGGAGGGGGGTCCCTGACGGGAAGGGGGCTGAGGAGGCCGTGATGGGGAGGGGAAGGCCGGTGGGCGGTTGTGCGGGGGCTGTTGGGAGGGGGGGGGTGATGTCTATGACGGGAACGGGGCTGAGGGGGCCGTGATGGGCTGTGTGGGGGGGGGGCCATGATGGGAGCGGGGCCGAGGAGGCCGTGATGGGGGGGGGGGTGTCGGTGGGCGGTTGTGAGGGGGCCGTTATGGGGAGCGGGGGGGCCGGTCCCAGAGGGCCCCACGCCGGGTGGCCCCGCTGCAGCTCGCTGTGGGTGGGTCTTCCCTCAGTGAAGCTCCTCGGCTGTGTGCGTGGCCCTGGCTGGAGGAGAGTTGTTGCCTCGTCCTCCTTGTAGCCGCTGTATAAATCGCCGTCCGAAGTAAAGGTGTGCAACGTTTTTGTGAGCACTTACGGTGGCTTGTGCTTGACTGCGATATTTGTATTTTCAGACCCTTATCTGCATAAACCCACCCCTTTTTGAGGTTTATCAGATGCTGTTAAGCCCCACGCAGCATCATGTGGCGCTCATCGGTACGAAGGGGCTCATGGTGCTGGAGCTGCCCAAACGCTGGGGGAAGAATTCAGAGTTTGAAGGTGGGAAATCCACGGTGAACTGTAGGTGGGTGAGACCTCAGGCGGTTAACAACATCCTTGTCCTGCTGTCATTCCTCTCTTGGGGCCAAGCGGATATGGAAGGCGTTGGTTGTATAGGGACAATCACAAGTGAAGTTATTTTGGCTCAGGGACTTGTTGATTGTCAAGTGACCCAAATAAATGACCTTCTAAACTTGTTGCAATTGCTGAGGAGTAAGGTGCTCCTCTGTAGTATTTTCTAGCCTTTCTGGGGTCTTTTAGTGGTGGTAGCTAAAAGCAGGCATCCAGATGGAAATAACAAAGGGCTTCAAGTTCAAGCAGTTCCTCCACCTTTAAGAATAATACAGCTGATGGCTTTGAAACCTTTTAATCGGGTCTCTAGCTCCTCTTGCCCCCACTTCCCATGAAAAGTAACTTTTGTGTTTCTTGGAACAGTGCCTATTTCTGCTCTGTATTTCAGCACTATTCCTATTGCGGAAAGGTTCTTCACAAGCTCGACATCTCTGACTTTGAAGCATGCTGCCTGGTATCCCTCTGAGACATTAGAGCCCCATATTGTGCTCTTAACTTCAGATAACACTATAAGGTAAAGCCTGTTTGTACTTGATTATCGTAGTGTGTTTTTTGTCATAGCCAGTCTGACTTTTCACTAGATATTTGTGTCCTGCCATTCTTACTAGGATTACCAATAAAAAACAGGAAGGGAGACATTTTAGACTGATACCAACTGACACTCCTGCATCAGCAGGAACCTGTGCAATGCTGCCAGCTGAATGAACATTGCTGCTGTTCCTTTCCTCTAGGTTTTACAGCCTGAAGGTACCTCAGACACCCATCAAAGTGATTGCTCTTTCAGACACTGAGGAGGAGACTCTTACAATCAGAAAAGGGTTTGTGTGGCTTCTTGTATTTTGTAATGCTTTTGACAGAATAAGCTCTGTATTTTCAGTAGTGTTTTTAAAGAATAAGATAAATCTACTTGAAGATCTGATGTGATTTTTTTCGTGGACTTCTTCAGTGCTAGGACTAGAGTAACTGCACTTTTTTTTTTTCTTCCCATCCTTCTAAAAGAAAGCGATAACAAAGTATACAGTCAAGTGTTTGTCAGAGTAGTCATTTTAAAAATACACATTGTCTTTAAGATAGGGCTAAGAAGAGCTTTTTGCGTGGGGACTGCAGAAACGAGATGATCTTTTTATTTCCCTCTTGGCCTAGTTGGAAAGGAAAAACTTGAGGGTCTCTACTAGTCAAATCACAGACTGATGTACTGCACGGGAAATACCAGTATGCCCTCCTCTTCTATCCTGTGAAACTGGGCAGGCTGGTGGCCGTATGGCAGAAATGAGGTGCCGTAAGAAGGATGTTACTTGGGTGCTTTTGCTGCTGAAAATAGCGTATGTCAACGGACTGATGGGCAAGGGTTAGCAGTAATTTGTCAGAACATACCAATGGTTAAATGCTTGTGTTCTCACAATCACTGCTGACTCTGGGTCTTGTTCTTTGTCCCCAGGAGAGCTTATACAGCATCGCTGGGAGAGACCGCGGTGGCGTTCGACTTCGGGCTGCTAGTGCCGGTCCCAAAGAACATTCTCGGACAGCGAAGGAATGAAGAAGTGTTGGCCTATCCACTTTATATTTTGTACGAAAATGGAGAGACATTCCTCACATATATCAGCCTGCTACAGAGGTAGGATTGCATTCATCCTCAGGTTTGGTGGGGTGCTTGTATGTTTTTCCAAAGTTAGGGTTGGAGAGCCATCTCTCAGTTGGGCTGGGACTGTCTGTAATGGAGGCTGGGCTGAGTTTTACTGTATTGCAGCCTGTCTTATCTCTTTGTGGCAGTGCTAATGGACTGAAATCCAAGAATACTGTGTCATCCTTTGTCATCCAGATGTTAAGGGTGCAGTTTCCACTGCTGAGAATCCACTGTCCCTTATTTGCCATCAGAAATCTGAAACGAAGACACTGGACTGTTAAAAGATCAGTGGGTCTGAGGCTGCTGAGGTGCATTTCAGGGCCTTCAGCCCACAGCACAGATATCCTTAGCTTTAGATGAGGCTGAATGAGCCAGTGGCATCTTAGGAGAAGAAATATTTTAAGATCATAGAGGGTTTTCAGGCATGTTCCATAATGAAAAGTCAAGAATATGAATCAATAATATAAACACAATACAGGAAAAATGACTTCAGAAAACTGAGAAGATGGTTGAAAACTTACCAGTTAGATCTAGTGTAGCGGAATATTAAAACGTGGTATTTCAGTTAGAAACAGCACTGTGTGCCTCTGCGTGAGAAACGATGAAGCATTGAGCAGATCCTGTCTGTAGGCAATGAAACAGGCTTAGTCCTTCAAAAGTTCTGCCTAGAGAAATGCCCATGCCTCAAAATGCTGCTTGTAAAGTGCTCTATTAAGCAAGAAACCAATTAAGTGATAAAGATAATTAACTTGAGCTGACCATGAGTACTTTGTGCTCCTGCATGAAAAAGTTTCCTCTTGAATTTCTTGCAAAGTAGCCTGGTTGCTTTCCAAGCATGAAATGCTGTTGCTGAGCTCCAGTTTCTTCTCAGAGATCTCCCACTGTGCGGGTGTAGTTCAGCCTCTTACTCCCCACGAGTCTGGGCTGCTGCTGTCTGATGGAAATGAGACAGAACTCCGAACCATTGGGGTTTGTTAAAAAATCCCCCTTATTTTGTAGTTCTTGTCCAGCAAACTCCCTCAGGCAGCCACAGGGAACTCTCCTTCCACACCCTGTGTTGTGAACAACACATCTTCTTTATTCCAGCACTGGAAATCTTGGCAAGCTGCTCGGCCCTCTGCCCATGCACCCTGCTGCAGAAGATAACTATGGCTATGACGCCTGTGCTGTCCTTTGCCTGCCTTGTGTTCCAAACATCCTGGTGATTGCCACCGAGTCAGGAATGCTTTACCACTGTGTGGTACTGGAGGGAGAAGAGGATGATGAGCAGGTACCTTGTTTTGTTTTTTCTATATGCATTTTTGTTTCTTTAGTCAGAGCTCCTGGCTGCAGGATGTGAATGCCAAGTGCCAAAGCTGCATTCTTTTATAATGAGGTAGAGAGTCTTCCTCCTATTCCAGCCAGTCCCTGTGATTCTCTGATGCTTTTATTTTAAATGTCAGTTCTGTGTATCCTGACAGTAGATTAGTTTTTGATCAAACTTGCTATGAACTATTTTAAAGCGGATCTTCTTACAAGAAACCCTGTTTCTGAGATAAATTTTTTTAAGTAAAAAAAAAATAAAATAAAGGGACTTGAACTACTTTCCCTGCCAGTTAATACTGTTGCTTGTATTATGTAGCTCTTTCTTGATGCTGTTTATGTTGGCATTTCTGTTCAAATGATATCTCACAGAAGAATTAAATGCTCTTTACAGTCAGAAAAGTCATGGGACCCAAGATCTGATCTTACTCCTTGCCTGTACGTGTTTGAATGTGTTGAGCTGGAACTTGCACTGAAACTGGCATCAGGAGATGAAGAAGAGCCTTTGGAGTCCGATTTCTCTTGCCCAATCAAACTGCATAAAGGTAGGGCTGTTGTTCACGTTGTTGGCTTTTACTCGCTTTACCTCATCCATTCAGGATCAAGCTATTTACAATTCTCATTGGTGTCAAACAGTGGTACTAGAGGAAGGGTTTGCTCTGTGTCTTCAGTAAAGCTGTGGAAAGAGGAATCCTGGGAGGTGCTTTAGCATTTACTCAAGGGCAGGTTACGTACGGTCACACAATGCTAAATTCTTTCAGCTGTACATTTTAAAGTAGAAGTAGTTGCATCTGTGATGACCGATGTCTGTAAGCAGGTGCTGTTGGGATGCTGATCCCGAGGGCAGGACTGGAATCTGCTTATTAGACTGCCCGACGTAGCTGCGGGGGAGGA